TGATATGTAAAAATAATTTTAATTGGTTAATTAATTAATTTAAAATCAACTTTTATAATTTTTTGTATAAATTAATTGAGAAAATAATACGTATTAGTCTTAATTTCTAAAAAAATTAGAGTTTTAAACTATATTTAAAATTTGAAATCTCAATTTAAAAATCAAAAATCCAATCAATTTATAAATTTAAATTTCAATATTTAATAAAATAAATTTTTAAATTTTAAATTAAATTTCAATAAAATAAAACAATATAATTTAATATTAAAATTTCAATTTTTGTAGGAATCATAATTGATATTCATTTTTCTTATTAATTAAAAATTATATTCATTTCACCCTTAATATGTATAAGAAAAACTTAATAATATATTATAAGTGAGAAATATAATCATTTAAATTTTTACATTTATTTATAATTAATTTATATAAATTATAAAATTTAATATTTACATAGATGATTTTAATTGATTAATTAATTAATCAATTAATTTAAGTCAACATTTGTACTTTTTTATATAAATTAATAAAAAATTACATTTATTGTATATTTTACATTTGTAAAAATCCATTAATATATTATAAGTTAGAAGTTACAAATATGATAATTACATTTTAAGACAGCCAAGACTTGAACCTACGTCTTCTACATGATAGGGGAAAGAAACAAAACAACAGAACCATTGTACAATATTTATTCATATTCAATTGACCTGACAATTTGAATAATTGAATCAGTTAAATCGATTAAACCAAAAACTGAAGGTTAAAATAATTTGACCTCCGAGTTAGTTTTCAAAACACTGCTCCCCATGACCCAAATGTAACATTAGCTTTTAAATTGAGTGATGTAATTATCACAATATCAATTATTAATATTATATTTTGTTATCTTAATTAATAGTTATATTTTTTATCTTATATTTTGATTAAGGGGATTGAAGGAGAGGAAAAGGAAGGGAAGTCCTTCCATTTCCCCTTCTTTCTCTCATTTGAATAAATAATTAAATTAAAAAATAAAATAAAATTTTCTTTCTTTCTCATCCCCTATAATTTTTTTATAAATAAATAGAAAAAATTTTCTACTCTTCTCCCCTCCATTTCTCTTATTTTAAAAAATAATATAAAATGCCAAATTCCAAAAATATTTAGTACAAAAATATAATAATTAGATAACTAAAATAGTGTTATATAAAAACAAACTCACCATTTTATTTTATTTTCAATTACATAATAAAATGCAACCATTTTTTACCTTTTATTTTATTTCACTCACATATAAAACTACTTAAGTCTAGAATTTTTATTTTTATTAAAAAAATAATCACGAAACTATTTCAATGAAAAATAAAAACAACACCTTTAAACTTGACACAGAAATAAAAAAAAAAAAATTATATTGCCTTTTACCTGAACAGTGTCCTTGTTGGGACTTTTCACCAAATGTTGACGCATTTTCTGCGTGTCATCCGGCTTTATTGGCCTTATAACTTTGCGTTTGTCCTTGGTATAGTTGAAAACTTTAATCCGAAAAATGGTTAGTAACAAGTGACGAGCCAGCGAGATCGAACGTAAGGCTTTATTATTATTATTATTTTGGAAAAAGCTATATCCACCCTCATCCTCTACACACTCCGTGACACACATCTATTCTCCGATATCTTCCCGTTAACTCCCTGACGGAGTCATCCCACCCCATTGTCACTCCAATGATCAGTGAGTGGAAAACTATCCCAATTTCCAGCACTTGTGACACCAATCTCTGCTTCACCACCTGCAGTTGCTCTCAATAAAACCTGCAATTTCATCCTTTAATTTTCTTTCTCTCTCTATCCCTCTATCAACACCAAATCTAAACATTTTTCCTTCCAATTTCTTTCTTTTGTTGGGTCAATTGAAGGAACCCAGCAGGGGCTGCTTTCCTGAACTTGTATGCCGTCGTTCACCTAAAAATTCCGTTCAATTCCCGTCTTGGAAATTCGAATCAGCTTCTGAAATTGTCTGCAAATACGTCTTGCTTTTTGAGAAGAAGGGTGATGAGCTAAAAGAGACTGGAGAAGTCGCTTCAAGCGCTTGTAGCCCATGTCTTTCTCTTCTCTTTCATGCTTTTGCTCACTTTCAAGCTTGATTATGCTGTCACTTATTTTTGGTGGTTCGTATCTCATCCTCTATTTTTGCAAAATTTCCCTTTCGTTGCCTAGGAAGTTGGAGAAATTGAACAACTTGAAATTTTGAGTCTTGTTTGGAGTGGTTGTGTGAAACTCTAAAAATGCCCCCAAGCTGTTGGGTTTCTAAATCCTTATCTTCAACCTTTAAATCCTTTCATTTTCCCTCCCCTTCCCCAACACCAGATCTGGGTTCCTTTGTAGGTTCCCACTTGCTCAACTTCATGCTCTATGCTAGTGAAACCAACGACGATGATGAAGAAGAGGGAGATGAGGCTGCAGATGATTAGGATGATGATGGAGGTGAGGAGGAAGATGGATCTGGTGAGGACAGTGAACAGAAAGAAGGAGAAAGGAAAGGAGAGAGAATTGGGTTAGCATGCAGTTCCAAGTGAAGAATACAGAGAACTGGTGAGGACGATGAATAGCAGAGAACATGAGGCTAACAGAGATGCTAACGAAGTAAGGAGGTGTAACGAAGTGTGTAACGAATGATGTGAATGTATCATTGTCTATTATTTTTCAATTTCAACTAAATTTTTTCTTTTTTAACTTAATTTTTTGAGACAAGCTTGTTCCCAACTCCATCTGTATGTAGCACCCACAGCACTAGTTACATTGAATAGGGTGCATCTTTACTAATGCTAAGATATTAATTTTAATGTTTGTAAAATCAATTCCCCTTCTCTCAAATTTTTCATGTTCAAAAAGAAAAAAAACTCCAACCGTATGTAGTTTCATCCATGCAAGTAACCATCTATCATGCCATTCATATGATCGAATGCCATTCATATTATCAAGAAATCAATTGAGAGTAAAATCAGCCCTTTTATTTTATTTTCATGATACTATTAGAATTTAATCCCATGCTCTAAAAGAGTGGCTCAACTAGTCAAAAACTTAAAATTTTAAGTTAACAATCTTAAATTTAAATTTTAAATTGAGAATAGAGGAATTTGAAAAAAAAGAAAAAGAAAAAGGGACCATCTCTTCTTGTATTTGTTAAATGTTCCCATTTCATGTTTTCTGGTTACTGGAATTGACACCAAAGACTTGAACCGTATAGTTGAAGAACCAATTTGACTCTCCAACCACCGAGGTTATACAAAGTTTTGATCTATCTCTTTTTAATAATCATCATTAAACATGCTAAAAAAAAAGTTTTGTTACCATTATATTATAAGGTCTTTTGGTGAACAAAAATATTCTTTATTGAGAAAAAGTGCAAGTAAAGATAAAAATTTTGTTTTTTTTATTTAAAAATATGAACTTTTCAAGTTTTTAAATAAAGATATAAACTTTCACTTTTTTATTTAAGAATATAAATTTTGTCATTTTTTATTTAAGTATATAAATTTTGCTTTATATTGATTAATATTGTTGTTTATCACATCATCATCTTATTTTGATTACTATTACCATTTACCACATCATCATCACCATCTAATAAATTCTTAAATAAAAAATATAAAATTTACATCTTTATTTTTAAAAAATAAAAATTTATTACTTAATTTAAAATTTTTAAAAAAATTCATTGTCTCCTTAAATAAAAAAAAATGATAAAGTTCTTATCACTTTTTCTCATTCTTTATCTTCTCTATAGGAATATTCTCTTAAAAAAAAGCTATTTATTTAAGGTTTTTGATTAAAACAAAAAAGAAAACCATTATTATTCGATAGAAAATGAAAACCAATAATAGAATAACGGAGTGGGCAAATTTCAATCAGTTAACTAGAAACTATAAAATCACTTGAACTTGGGCGGGGTTTTCACTGATCTGTTAGGTTCGAGTACAAAAAAAAAAAGGCTCAGGCTTATTAAACCCAAAGTCTAGTCCGGCGGGCTTCCTAAGGCCCAAACACCAAAAACCAAAGGACTAGGCGTAGTAAAACCAAAGCCCAAACCTCAATTTTTTTAATTCTAATTTTTAAAAAACTTTTAGATTAGCCATACGTTTTTGTTACCGTGTTTAAGCTCTCTTCCCCTCTTTTGTTTTTTCCATCATGGCATATTTGACTTTTTAAATCGAAATTTTATTGGTTTTATATATCATTAAATATTTGATTTATTTTTATAATTTAGGTTGATTTGATTTCAATCATTGGATTTAATTAGCTTAATTTACAACATTAAATAAAAAATCTAAACCCTACTTGTTCTTTCTTCCTCACCTCACTCTCACCTCTTTACGTTTCAGGTCCCACTGTCTTCTCTGCTTCATACCTTTTTTTTTTTCCTTTTTCAATGATCTAAATAAATTTATCAATTTGTGGTATCTCTCCTCCAAATCCAACAAACAATTTCTATCCAAATTTTTTTTTACTTACTACTTTCTTTCTTTTTTTCTTTTTTTTTTTTGATGAATAAAAATGTTTTATTAAAAAATAGAGTATAAGAGATACTCACCCATACATTTCACCAAAAAACCAATAAAGTTTTAAGAGTTTATAGCACAATTGGTTGGAAATTGACACTAATTCATAAAACTAAACTTAATAGAACTAGAGTTACCTTTGATCCAACTGAAAGTTTTAATCTGGATTAAGTCAACCAACCTATTTTCACCCCAAGACTGTTTGCCAAAAATAATATTGTTTCTGCTGAGCCAAATGGCCCAAGCAGTTGTTGAGATTGTAAGATTCCAACAGCTTCTTGCTTTCCTAGGGATTAGCAGCGAGCTAAGTTGGTGGAGTATTGTGGAAGCATTATCAAGGGTGACAAAAGAGAAGCCCCACCAATGGCATATTCTACTCCATAGGTGTTGAGTTGAGACCATCTACATTTGGCGAAGATATAATTTGCATCCTCCAAATATGCACCACAAAATACACAATTTGGGTTCGCTGTTAAGTTCACTCCTTTGATAAGCAGGTCACTTTTGTAGGAAGGCGGTTTAGGAGAAGGAGCCAAGTTTAAAAATTGATTTTTAAAGGCACCCGTGGATTCTAGATCAAGCTGCAACTGTTATCACCAAGACAAGGAGAAGAAACATCAAGAAAATTATAGACTAGCTTTGCTGAGTATCCAGAAGAGCTGTGAAGCCAATTAAAACTGTACGGCTTGTTGCCGGGTATGTTAACAACTTTTATAATCTTTTACTTACCACTTTCTTTTCATTGTTTATTTTTCTAGATCTAAAATGTAAAAAATAGAAATTAAAAGAACTTAAAAATAAGTCTTCCTCCTACATATATATCTAAGTATAAGAACTCCAGATCTCATATTGTAGACTAACTCCTACATGTAAGAAGATAACATGTTGCCATCACAATCTTCATCTTCCAATATTCTCCTTTGTTTCTCTTATAAAAATCTATTTTGGTCAAAATTGACACCAAAATTAAAAAATTAAAATGGATCAGTCACCAAACGACCCAACCAAAGCAAATTTGGTTTGATAAACGATTGGCACCTTTTTTCCAACAAACAAAAGGTGGTTAACCACTATTATCAATTGGTTTATCCACCAAACTGACCGATACCCACTCAAACAGAATGTAATGAGTGAAATATCTCATTGACTCATCCGATGGAATTCTTCTTTCTTCGACCCACATTAAAAGATCTTTTCTTTTCCATTTTCCTCTATTTTATTCCATCGTTTTTTGGCTAATGTCTATTTTAGCTTATAAATTTTTAATTTTAAATGTTTTTAGTTTTTAAATTATTTTTTTATATTTTTTTAATCCTTAAACTATAAAAAAAATATATTTTTTCAAAATTTTTTATCAATTAATTAATTAAATTTATCTAAATGTGCATAGTTTTAATCCATAAAATTATAATATATGCATATTTTTATCTTCTTAATTTCTTAATTTAGGTACTAAAATATATATAGAGTAATTTAACAAACTAATGAACACACAATATATATATCTTTTATAATTCAAAAACTAAATAAATCCAAAAAAAAATTAAAATTTAAAAATATTTAAAAATGAACAACTCAAGAACAAAATTTTAATGGATGATGTTATAGGGAGAATTTTTTTATTTCTTTTTTTTATACAATTTTCACATATCATTAAATAAGTTGATGTATTTAATATTACGGATTTCACATAAATTAAAAAAATTAATTATTTTAATAATATATCAAATTATACAAAAAAAAAATAAAAAATAAAAATTGTACCAAAGGTATTTCTTATTTGCAATTTAACCTTTTCTTATACCTTATCGATTTGAGGCATTTTGCGATTCGTACTTGGCTGGTGGGAGTTGAAGTGGAAGTGGAAGTGGAAGTGGAAATGGAAGTAGAAAATGAAAGTCGAGGGAAAATTCTATGTGGGCCCCACTTCTTCAAGCGCTGAGTTTGTGTAACAGAGGCATTTCTTAGCTTCTGTGCTCTCTCATCATCGCCTCAAAGGAGCGTGACCACACCTTCTCCACGTTGCTGCTCAAATGATTTAATGGTTAATGTTCTGTTTGTTGGTGGCGCTGAACAGTGTTGTTATTGTAGTGTAGATATTTGTCTTTTTATCTTAAAAATATATAAAATAGTAATAAATTTTTTAAAAATATTTAAAATATTAATTAAAATTAATTATTTAGCATAAATTTGCACTTTTAAATAAAGTGTTTAGAAAAAAATGTTGTTCATAGCACTTCCAAACGATATTTAAGTTGTTTTTCTATTAACTTTTCTCATGCATAAGATTTTGGTTTGGGTCTATCTAGTTCGAAATCAATTTTACTGAAAAATATTGAAAAATTACTATATGAGAAATTGATAAATTTTATAATAAAATTTTGTTGAAATTTTATTAACAATATTATAATTATAATGTTATGTGATATATATATATATATATATTATAAATTGGCTAAAGCCTCTATTTGCACCCTCCACTTAATTCTTTTCCGCAGGTCAACACCTTCCAAATATTTTTTTTCCTATTCACACCCTCAATTTTTCAAAACTCGTAAAAAACCTAACATTTTAACGCGTCGTCACGGCACCGTTACAAAATGCATTACGTGGCACCCAAAAATTGACGTGGCCATTATGTACCGTTAGTAATCCAATGTGGATGCCTTTTTTGATGATGTGGCTTATTTAGGCATTATATGATATTATTTATCTAATGTGGATGATTTTTTTGATGATGTGAGATGATGGCATGGCATAATTTTTTATGTGAAAATCTCCCAACCAAAAAAATAAATAAATAAAATAAGAACAAGAGCTCTGGGTTCCAGAACCCAGAGCTGGGTTCCTTGTGAGGAACTCGATCTGGGTTCCTCACAACTAGGAACCCAGCTGGGTTCCTCGTGTTCCTCGTGAGGAACCCATGAAGAACCCAACTGTGTGCTTCTTAACAGGGAAATCCATCACTCTAAATGTAAAGGCAACATTTGAGAAGATATATGCTCTTCCAAGGTGTTCTTATTTTCTGTGTTTGTTGCAGCTTGACAAAGTCGCTAGCTTGTGTTTTTTGTCACATTTCATTTGTATCTTTGCAACAACATATATGGAAATGAGATGGAGGGGAGTTGGTATTCATGAGTGGTGGAGAAATGAACAATTTTAGGTGATTGGAGGGGTTTCAGCACGTGTATTTGCTGTTTTTCTGGGGCTTTGAAAGGTTCTCGCCGGTGTTGATACAAATTTCTAACTGACTTCCGAGGTAGGGGATGAGGCAGGGGATGATGAGGAACTATTCGCATTTAAGTGGAAAACATTACGCATCCCACCAACAACCCTGTTGAAAATTAACCAGATAAGAGTGGTGGCTGGCATCTCGAATGGGAGAAATAACGGGAATGATTCATTGGGACCTTTGTGTGGGAAGCCTATCTTTGCTTTCTGGGTTCACAATGAGGAACCCAGAGTCGGGTTCCTCATGGGTTCCTCTCGAGGAACCCATGGAACCCAAAGCTCCTATTCTAATTTTTTTTTTTATTTTCTTTTTTGGTTGGGAGATTTTCACATAAAAATTATGCCATCTCATCATCTCACATCATCAAAAAATCGTTCACATTAGGTAAATAATATTACATAATGCTTAAATAAGCCACATCATCAAAAAAAAAAAAATTCACATTGGATTATTAACGGCACATAGTGGCCACGTCAATTTTTGGGTGCCACGTAGTACATTTTGTAATAGTACCGTGACAGCGCGTTAAAATGTTGAGTTTTTCACAGTTTTTGAAAAATTGAGGGTGTGAATAGAGAGGAAAATATTTAGAAGGTGTTGACAGCGAAAAAAAATTAAGTGTAGGGTGCAAATAAGGAATTTGGACTTATAAATTTACAATTATAATGTATCTTTAAATAAATATATATAATATTAAGGATGAATATATAAATAAAAAAATTTAATTGTATAATAATATATTGCATATGTAAATTTATAATATTACATAATATTATTATTATTTTTTTAAAATTTTTTTGAGTTGTTAACTATTATGTATATATTTGATAAGAAATTAACACTAATAAAAGCAAGAGAGGGTTGTCAAATGTATCCCATATTAAAAAAGTTTGAAAATTTTTTTCCTTTAAAAAAACATGAGAAGAAAAAAATTATTAATTGAAAATTATATATTAAAAAAATGATGGCTAAAAATGCAATTTAGCACTTTATTTATTATGGCATTGAAGCATAAAAGTACTCGAAAGTCTTTAAACTTTTATGAGTAAGGGAGGAAGTTTTCTCACTCAACCGAAGACACCCTTAAAGTTTAGTCTTTGTATTTTTGGTATATCTTTTGAAAATAATATAATTATAATATTACGTAATATTATATATATAATATAATATATTGTTATATAATTAATTTTTTTCATAATAATTCACTTATGATATTATATATTAATTTATTTTTAAGACACATTATAATTATATAATTACAATTTTATCTGACATTATATTTATATTATTTTCTATGACAAAGCATTATCATACATCATTCGTGCATTTTAAGATTAATTTTTTTAATATAGTCATAGATATGTCACCTACATCCCATTTAAGAAATTTATATCATTAACTTCCACAAAAGGATCAAAATGGAGAGCCAAGTCCTGTTAAGATATCACTCGTTGGGTTCTTAAGCCTAACTTAAAATTAGGTAAAAGTGAAAAAAATAAAAAAATTTATTTTGTGTAATTTTTTTTATGTAAAGTGGCATATGGTTGTATTTAGGGTTTTATATTGTCACTACACTTTTTCATTTAATATTTTATAATAGTGTTAATATATTATAATTAAATTAATTTTAATTGATATTTTGTATAATTTAATGGTTAAACTAATTTATAAAACATTTTTCAAAATAATTATCAAATAATTCATAATTTTTCAACCCATAAGTCATTATATTGTTATCCATGAAAATTTATATTGTTAAATGATAATCTTGAATATGACTTTGACATTGATGGTAAATTTAAAAATTTCATTGGGCAAACTTTGTCTATCTTTTGGAATCTTAGAAACTTACCGAATACGTTTGTTTGACTTGGTATGTCTGTTAGAAACTTCTAAGAAAAATATAGTCAAAATTTTAGTTAATAAAGAAGTGCCACGTTATTAAAAGAGACAAGAAATTTGATGGCTTCAAACATGCTAAATGTCTTTGCCATTTATACGTGGGCTCTACTGTACCTAGTCTTTTGCCTTGCCGGCTAGCTAACCACTTAAAGTAAGCTTTCTAACCATATTTAAGTCAGGATTAGCTAGTTCCACAAGTTGCACACATAGTTTTTTAATTAGTTTCTGAGAGTCTCAGAGAATGTATGATGGAGAACAATTAAAAAGCTTCCTCTATTACAATATTATTAAAATTAACCTTATTTTATATAAATTACATTTTTTTATGTTTAATTATCAAATAAAAGACTTAATAGAATATTACCTCTAATACGTAGAGCTACTTTTTTTAAGTTGTACTAATTTTATTTTATTTTTTAAATTCACAATTAAATATTCTAACTAAAATATTTAAAAGAAAAAAATAAAAAAAAAAAGAAAAAAAAAAAGAAATGACAGTCGTTGGATTGCACCATCCAACATTATTTTGGATTGCAAAATCATGTCAGGCAGTGCAGAGTTTTTCAAATTGTCTTTTTGCCCCTTTTGGGGCAAAATAATATCTTTTGGCCCAAAAGGGGCAAAAAAAATTTAGGGGAGCCGTGCTCGGCTCTTTTTTTTTTTATTTTTTTCAACGTACCAACTTGAAAAACTTTGTAATATTTTCGTAAAAGAACTTATGATAGAGCATGCCTTGTACATGTTTTTATAAATTTAACCAAGTTTCCTTATGGAATCGGGACTTGTGGCCCAATAGTTCGTTTCCAAGCCTTAGTGCTTGGGTGAGATGATGGTTGGAGCTTCGAACTCCAATATCATTGTGAACTTTACCAAAATGTGGCTTAATGGTCGCGCGTCTTATTTAAGGGGGTGAAATGTTCATCCAGTTTAAAGACCAGCTGCTAACAATTAACTCACTAACTTTCTAATTATTACTTTTGTCAAAAAAAAAAAAAAAAAACCAAGTTTCCTTATGAAAGTTCTTTAGGTCTTACCCAAACTGCTCTTAGAGACATAAAAGCAAATCCCTAAGGTTAAGTGGACCAATGTAGAACTACAACATGCTAGAAGTGTTTTAGCTAACAGCAATAAAGGTAGGATGACAATTTTCTCTGAGATTCACAAAGTTTTGCGGAGATTCCTACCATGAGAATGGAAATTTCAAAAAATATTTCTCTTCATAAGATAAGGATGGAAGCATTTTTTTTCTCATAAAATTTTGTAAGAGATTTGTTTCACCTCATGGAGATTCGTGATCCATATGTAATAAAAATGTACATATTGTTTTTATATTTTTTTTGTAAATATATTACCAATTAATTTTGACTCACCTAACCTAATTTACTAATCTAACCTAAACTAAATTGTTCAGCCTAATTTCTTTTTCAGTTTTAGTCTTATCAAATCCAATTCAATGACCCAATCCAACTTGGATATGTATAGCAATTTATGCATTTTTTTTTTTTTTGATTTTGTTTTTTTTTGGCATTTTTTGCTTTTTTTTTTTTATGAATTTGCTATTGGACCTGTTGGATGTCTATGGCAATCTGTATTTGCTGTAATTAATTACTAGATATCGCTTTGGTGCACTATATATTAATGTATTCACTTGTTTGAGTTATCTTAACTTTTTTCTTTTTTTATTTATTAAAAAAGGCTAAATTCTATATATATTTAATACTTTGAGGATTTTGAATATCCGCGAGAACCTACCATTCTTTATAAGTATTTGGACAAAAGTTATTTTTGACCCCTCACAAAAAATCCCTGTGGGGATCCCTGCATCCGTCATTGGCAATGATGAGGATGGGGAGGGGGTTATTATCTTTGTGTGAATTCGTTGCCATCCTTAAATAAAGGAATATAAACTCGGCACAATTTTACATTAAGTTCCCAAACAACCTTAAATTTTTTATTAAATTCTTAAATTTTTGTTGAAGTAAATAAACTCTTAAACTTGACGTTTTGAGCAATTTAATCCCTCTTCTTTGTGGTGAACTTAATGCTTATTTGTACATTACTTATATTGATAAGATATTAACTTATCATTACTTATGTAACAAATATTAATTTTGTCTACACAAGTAAAATACAAACAGATATTAAGTTTGTTACAAAAAAAATTAAATTACTTAGATTAATAAATTAAAATATTTATTTACTTCAATAAAAGCTTAAGAATTTAATAAAAATCTGGGATAAGTTTAAAATTTAGGCTTTTTGGTTGAATTCTGTTAATTTACTTTTCACACCAACGGCAGGTTCATTATTACACGCCCCTCCAGGTGAGTAAGAATGGCAGACCTCACCTCATCGTCTTCTTTTCCTTAAAACGTGATGAGTGAGACTGGCAGAATTTGTCGCCGTCTTTTCCACAAAGCGCGTTGAGTGAGACTGGCGGAATTCGTCGCCTTCTTTTCCACAAGGCGCGTAAGTGCATAACTAACGACTGTCAGTGTCAGAGCGGCCCGCAGCCAAAACTCCGTTCTCGACTAACGACGGACGACGTCGTTTACGGGGGACTGGAAAGCAGAAGCGGCAAAAAAAAAGTTCTGTTTTTCTCGCTTTAACCTAAGAGCGTGTTTGTCCCCCCTCCAGAACACATGTTTTCGACTTTTCCAGTTTAACCAAAAAAAAAAAAAAGAAGGAAGAAAATTTCCTTAATCGATGTTTACTCAATTCCCAAGACTCCGTTGAAAAAGACCGCTGACTTCTCATTCTAATTTAAAATCTTTTTTGTTTTCGTGCCCGCATAGAGTTTCTTATTTCCACTGTTCTTCTTGGTTTTGAAACTGCAAAAAAAAAAAAAAAAAAAAGGAAAAAGGAAAAAAAGGTCTTTTCTGGAGCTGGAAGATTTTCCGGTAGCTTCAGAGGAACTGGAAAGTTCATGCAAATCGAGGTGAGGGAGTTGAGTGGAACGAGTTAGCTTGATCGGAGATTGGTTGCCGGGGAGCATTGTTGTAATGATAATTGAGGTTTACTGTGAAGAAGAGGAAGAATCATGCTCCCGAAAATGCATTTCTCCGAGCTTGATGACTCTCCTATGTTCCGCAAGCAGGTTTCTCTCGCTCATTTTTCCTGTTTCCTGTGTCTTAGTTTTGAAGAAATGGATTCGTATTCATATGATTTTCCTATTTAGTCTTTTTTTTTTTTTTCTGAAATTCTTTTAATGTTCAACTATAATATTTGGAGTTGGTACTTGGTAGTAAGATTGTCATTTTAGTAGTCTTTATACTCTGGCGAGGAAACGGAAAACAGAATCGTAATTGCATGCAAAGATTCACAAGTGGAAATTTTCTTTATATAGAATTTAGCTGAACTGATTGCATTTGTGTAATTAGAAGCTTGTAGGTTGATCATCTCTTATAAGACAAAGAATTATACTTTGTTCGAAGATTCGAATTTATACCAGGTTAGATTGATGAGAGTTTGTAATAAGTAGTATCACAAATTGTAAATTCAGTTGTGCAGGATGTTCTGTTTCTTGATGGGAAAACTTAATGCTGTAATGGATTTATGGTTGGTAATTTGTTTCTTTTGTGAGACAGATACAAGGTATGGAGGAGAGTGCTGAGGCCTTCCGCGAGAGAAGCTTGAAGTTTTACAAAGGATGTAGAAAGTACACGTATGTTATACTTGTTTACTCTATGGAAGATATTTATTGACTGGTTTTTGCGTTATAAATTACAAGATATTTATTGTTCACGTCTGCTAAAGTTTTGTAAAAGTGCTGATTAAAAAATTGAAAATTTTATGGATGTACACATTTTTAACAGACTTTTCTTGCATTTGGTCTTCACATGTGGACGAAAAGTGAATTAGACCTTGCACTCTAGAGCTGCCTAGATATTTGCTGGCATACCTTTTTGCTTTCTGATAATTATGTTTGTATCCTTAGAGCTAGAGATTAGTTTTCTTCCATATAGCATGATCTCATTGCCTAATTTAAGATTATTGGAACTTTGAAAATATCCCAACCATGATAACAGAACCTGTCACACAAGTATCTTATTTTTCTGAATGGGAACAGCATTCTTTCTTTTCTGTTTGGTGGATGGAGCATTGGCTACTACTCATTGTTGATGCTGAAATCCATCTTTTCCATATATAATATTTAAGTTTGTGAAAGATTTTCTCTTCATATTTCATTTTTCTACTTGCAGTCAAGGACTTGGGGAGGAATATGATGGGGATATTGCTTTTGCAAGTGCTCTTGAAACTTTTGGTGGAGGGCATAATGATCCCATCAATGTGGCTTTCGGAGGTTTGTATTTTTCAATGTTAATTCAGAAGATGTTTACATGATTACATGTAATTACCGTGTCATCAGATATGGAACCTTGTTGTAATTTGACAGTCTTGAGTGCCAACATGGGACCCCTTTTGCAGGCATAGTTTTTACCTCTGTACTTTTTGTCTGGTTGAATCCATGATATGTTTGAATTGAATTTTGAAATGCCTCAAGATTACTTTTTCTACGTAAAATTTGATTTTATCTGCCGGAATGAAATATATATTGGCTCCATAAGAATGGAGTAGGATTTTTGCTGGTATCATTTGGTGAAACTTATGTTTTCCTCTCTAGGGCCCGTTATGACAAAGTTTACCATTGCATTGAGAGAAATTGGGACATACAAAGAATTTCTTCGATCCCAGGCAAGCTTTTGATTTGCATTTTTGAACGTTATGATGCTAATTTACTACTGCATAACTGATTGTGTCTCAAATTCAATCATGCACTACCTTTGGCTGCTTTCTGAAACATGGACTGTATTAGGACATGATGGATGTTCATAGTCACTGAAGCTAATAATGCATCCAAATACAAGAGCAGAAGTTGTTCATAGCTGTGTTTGTTCAATATATACTCTTTTTCTTTTTGTTTCTTCTTCTCTGTGACTATTGTGAATTAGTGATTTGTGCATCATGATGCATCATTCTGAATGGTGGCTTTGTTTCATATTTTGGTCCTTCTTTTTGATTGTTAAAATGTGAACATTGCTACTAAATTGCACTTTTTCACTGCAAATGACTACTATCCAATGAAAATGTCAACATTGTGAGTATGTGACTGAATAATGCTTCTTGTTTTTCTCAGGTTGAGTACATGCTAAATGACAGATTGCTACAATTTGTCAATATTGATTTGCATGAAGTCAAGGTACGGCATACTACTGGTTCCGCCTACTTATTTCATTTGAATGGTGGTTCATTTTTGGAAGGGCATGAAACTAAATTGGAAATGGCTGCAGAGAGTAGATCCAGCGCATTTTTCCGTCTTTTTCATGAAATTTAAATTTTATGTTGATCTTTAAATGAGCCTCATTTAGAGAGCCTCAGCTTGCTCCTTTACATTTACTAGTTGGGGTACTGGCTGTACGGGATCACCTCCTCATTCACATGAGGTTGTTGAAGTGCATGCAACATGTTTGTGCATTTTAAGTTTTCTGTATGATTTAAGTGTTTCATTATTTGGTGCAGGAAGCGCGGAGGCATTTTGACAAGGCTAGCCTCGTATACGACAAGGTGCATGCCATGGGTTATAGCTTGAAATATTTTTGTTGACATATTTTCCATTGCAGTTGATGCCAGTGGCATGCAGTTACAAATACTTTCCATATGAGTATTATTAGTTGGTTATGAGTCATCTGAAGTTTGGTTTGACCAAGATTTTATTGGTATTTTTTCTTTTTCTTCATGTTCAGTAAAATTCAGAATGGTTTATTCTGGTTATAATTTTTTTATTAGTTCTTACTTGAATAGTAATGAAGATAGCTATCTTTCTTCAAAGTCAATTGGAACTTGGAAGGAACAATCTAAAATTACTCATGTACCCCTTGAATAGATAGGGGATAGAATTGTGAGGGACTTAGAAAAGGATTGTGGTTCATTATGAAAGAAATGGTTTGATTGTTGGTCTCTATTGAATAGTTTAAGAAGGAAGTTAACTACACCAAATGACAAATTTTAGGTTGATGACTCTCATCAGATGTTAGCTGGTTATGTGAATTTTAGTTTATTAATTCTGTAAAAGACAGCTCAATAGGATTGTAAGTGTACTTTATCCTTTATTTCTTGCATGTTGAATTTTCAATAGTTTGCCTTATTTTATGAAGATTGATACAAAGATTAGGTAATGAATTTAATATCTTTGCAGCAACAGAGCGTGCCTGTATTTCTAAGTTTCTGTTAATAATTTTACCAGGGATGTGGCTTATAGCTGTTTTATGATGAATCATGAAAGTTGCTTGAATCTGATGTTGTACTATCTAGTTGATGTAGAAGCAATTTCAGAGTTATCTTTACTTAGTTTAAAACTATGCTACAGGCTCGTGAGAAGTTTCTTTCACTGAGGAAAGGTACAAAGAGTGATGTAGCTAATGTTTTAGAAGAGGTATTAAGCAATTTCTGTCCTATATATCTTTGATATTCATATGTGTGAATTTTCACTGTTGAAAATCCCACTATGTTTTCCAATATGTTTGGAAATATTTTCAGGAACTTCATAATGCAAGGTCAATGTTTGACCAAGCTCGTTTTCATCTAGTAAGCTGATTTCTTGAATTTATTCTCTTGAGTATTTGAAGTTGAATTGGTGTACTAAAGTTGGACCCAATATTCTAATTGCAGCCTCTGGTTTATAATCTTTGCCATGTGTCCAGGTAACTACTCTTTTGAATGTTGAAGCAACAAAGAGGTCTGAATTTCTAGAAGCAGTAAGTGGGACAATGGATGCTCATCTTCGTTATTTTAAACAGGTGATTGCATTGCTGGAACTTTTCACTTTTTTCTCATGTTCTATCTCATTTGTTGCTTATGACTCATTGCCAATTGTAGGGATACGAGTTATTGCATCAAATGGAGCCCTACATAAATCAGGTTGGTTATTGTATTTTACTTGGTTATTGAAGGAAAATGTTTGTGTTTGCTATACATCACATGTTTGCGCATTATATGTTTATGTTTCCTTATAAGAAAATGGCTTGCCACAATATCATTATTTTAGGGATCTGGGATGAGAATATTTGGTTGCTTTTTTATTGTAGTAATGGTCCCAGTTAGAATGTTATGAGTAGATGAAAAAAAAAAAGGCAAAAGTTATATCTTCTTATGATCAAAGTAAATGTAAAGTCTATAAATCTGGCTCTGGCATGGGAAGCCTGTCATCTGCCAAGAAAATTTTATGGTCCATCAAAAGTGGGATTTAGTCAACTTGATGAATTGATGCTTCCAACATTTCCAATAATATTAATCATTGTGCAAATTTATGCCAAGTTTATTATTGTATTGCAGTTGTTAACTTATGCACAGCAATCAAGAGAGAGCTCCAACTATGAGCAGGCAGCTCTTAGTGAAAGGATGAACGAGTACAGAAGGCAGGTTGATCAAGAGAGTAGATGGTCTTCTGATGGTTCAAATGTGTCTCCTAATGGAGATGGTATACAAGCCATTAGTAGAAGTTCACATAAAATGATAGAGGCAGTTATGCAGTCTGCTGTGAAGGGAAAGGTCTAAAGAAAGTCTCTGTTTGTGAGACTTTATATGACCTCTTGATGCTTTTGCATGTTCTGAATTGCATACCTGCAACTAAAAGCTGAAACAAATTTTCAGGTTCAAACCATTCGACAAGGTTATCTGTCAAAGCGTTCCTCAAACCTGAGAGGAGACTGGAAAAGAAGATTTTTTGTCCTTGATAGCCGAGGAATGCTGTATTACTATTGCAAGCAAATTGTTCAATCATCAGTAAGATATTATTTTCCAAGAAAGACAGTTCATCTATGTAACATGTTTTAATTTAATTTTTGGGATGATCCTATTAATTACTTTTTGCTTTTTGACATCATTTTTGGTGTTTTTTTAGGGTTCTGGAAGTCAGCTTTGTGGTCAGCAGAATGGTTCTGAACTTGGATCTGGATTGTTGAGTCGGTGGCTTGCTTCTCACCATCATCGTGGTGTCCATGATGAGAAATCTGTTGTTCATCATACTGTGAACCTGCTTACATCAACAATCAAAGTTGATGCTGACCAGTCAGATTTGAGATTTTGTTTCAGGATCATTTCCCCAACGAAGAATTACAATTTACAGGTGTGACTTAGATGTAGGTTTTATTTCTAGTGCTGAATTAGTTCATATATATACATTGGAATGTTGAAAACCAATCCAAGCATCCCAACGCCCATCTAAGGGGTGGGGTGCTGCCAGTCCAACAGTTATATGCAAATAACTATTATCTGTGATGTTTTGTGATTGAAATGTACTACAGTTATTCAGCAAATGATCCCCAATGATGTTGTTTTCTTGTCAGCACAGGCAGAGAGTGCACTAGATCAAATGGATTGGATTGAAAAGATAACCGGGGTTATTGCTTCATTACTCAGTTCTCAAGCTCCTGAGAGGGTAATTATTAATTAAAGAGCATTAATTTCTTACCATATATATATATATATATTGATGATTGCTGTATGGTTATTTTTCCAGTGTTTGCCTGCTAGTCCCATGGGGAGTGGTCATCATAGATCAGCCAGTGAGTGTAGCTCATTTGAAAGTTCTGATTTTGATCGTACTTCTGAAGATTATACCTCTGAAAGGAGCCTTGTTGCTGCATATCATGAATGCCAGCCAAGAAGTTTGCAGAATCAAAGGCCCTATGTAAGAAGTGAGAAACCAATAGACGTTTTGCGAAAAGTATGTGGGAATGACAAATGTGCAGACTGTGGTGCCCCCGAACCAGATTGGGCATCCTTAAACCTTGGTGTTCTTGTTTGCATTGAATGTTCTGGTGTTCACCGTAATCTCGGAGTGCACATATCGAAGGTAAGTGTAATAAACTTTTTTGTCAACTTTATATGAAAACATTTTATTGACATAATTGCTTAATTCTCTTTGTCTACCTAATTTCCTATTTACAAATAATTTGTGGATATTCAGAAATGAACATACTCATTCAGTCATTAGAATATTAGGATTGAATGTGTGTAGTGGCTACATTTGAGATAAATTTGAGAATAAAGGCTGTTACTTGAAGTTTTCCATTTATTCTTTTAGTGTCTGTACTTTAGAACATCTGAAAGATTTTTGTCAAAATGAATTGCCATTTTCTGTTTGCTAGGTAAAAGATCATTGTTGATGTATTTGTATTTATTTCATCATTTATGCAGCTCTTGATTTTTTATTGATTTCTATTGCAGGTGAGATCACTTACTCTTGATGTAAAAGTGTGGGAGCCTTCTGTTATAAGCTTGTTTCAGTCTCTGGGCAATACATTTGCTAACTCAGTCTGGGAGAAACTATTGCAATCAAGAAGTACCTTCCAGGTTGACATTGCCCCTACAGGGTAAAGAATCCCTTTTTATTGAAATGAAGTCCATTTAAATTAGCTATGTATACTTTTTCTTCTTACCAAAAATTTCACTAACATTGACTTATTATTTTGCTAATGAAGGTTATACAAGTTGGATAAGCCCCAGCCACTTCTCATGGGAAAACCTTGCTACTCCGATTCTATATCAGTAAAGGAGAAGTTCATTCATGCAAAGGTCAAAATTTGGCATTCTACTTTTCTGCTATTTACTTTTAGCTGCCATGAACTTGTTCAAGCCTTCCCTTGGATGTGCCTGCAACTTTTTTGCTATGATAGCATGCAAGTTTGTTCATGCAACTTCTTAAATTTTATAAACAAGCAATTTTCTTAGCATGTAATCATCAACAACGTTTGGACTGTTATTAGTCCCTTCATCCCCATTTGTAGTAAATAATTAATTATCCTCTTCTTTAGCTTTTGCTTTCCTGTGGTCTTACAATGATTATAATTAATAAAAGTGGTATGATGGAATTGTAGAATGCTTGCTTTTATCTATGTAAAATACTGAAGAGATTTTATGTATTCTTGTGATCACAGTATGCCGAAAAGCATTTTGTTCGCAAACTGGAAGAAAAACAATACGCATATTCTGCAGCACAAAATATTTGGGAAGGTGTTCATGCTAATGACAAAAAGGCAGTATATTGTTACATTATTAATTGTGAAGCAGATGTGAATGCTGTGTACGAACAAGCATCATCTGGCCCTTCATTAACCCTTACCAAAGCAATGCTACTACAAGAGTACACAGACGTGGATAACAGATCTGGTTCCTTACCAGGTGAAGCTTTAGACAGGTCATATTCTTGTTCATCGGACATGACAGGTACAAGTGGAGACCAAACCATGGAGGATTTTGATGGCTGCTCTCTCCTTCACCTTGCTTGTGATACTGCAGATATTGGCATGCTTGAACTTCTGTTGCAATATGGTGCAAACATAAACGCAACTGACTCAAGAGGTCAAACACCACTCCATCGTTGTGTTCTTAGAGGCAAAGCTGCATTTGCTAAATTACTTCTTACCAGGTAACTTGAGGACTTTTATCACAATAGTTATTTGTGCTTTATTTCATAGCACAATATAAGTCTGAAAGTGTTATAGCTCAAATATTATTAGTTGGTGGCTGGTTTGCAAATTCTTTCAGTAACCACTTTCACAATTGTAGTTGTTGTTGTTGTTGTTGTTTTTTTTTTTTTTTTCAGGGGAGCAAATCCACACACTTTGAATGGGGAAGGTAAGACCACATATGAGCTTGCAGTGGAGTCTGACTTTGATGATAGTCAAGTCCTTGCTCTCTTATCAGATTCAAACGGGTAACTTCCTACTGAAGCAGGAGCAATATATGGCCAACTGAATCGAACCTTCAGAGTGAAATTTGAGAAATGTGTTGAGTTTTTTTACAATTGTAATATTAAATCCTGAGGGCTGGTTCTCTATTGAAATAGAAATCGCCACTGTTGTGTTGGTTTGAAAGAGAGTGAAGTGCAGAAAGTCAGAGTGGTAGGTTTGTCATGCCTGCTCCATTGGCACATGTGCAAATTATTATCTGAGGGTTGTAATTTAAAACGGTCGCACTTGTTTGACTGAAACTGAGAGCAACTGGAAGTTTTTTCGGAAAGAAGGCCATATTGTGAGGGGATGTGCTTTGGGCTTGTGTTGTTCCGGGGCTATTGAGGGTTACTCCTATTTATTTTTAGTGAGCTTAATTTGATTTTTTTGATTTTTTAAGCATAAATTTTGAATGAAAATTTAACAGTTTATATGAATAAAAAATAAAAAATTTTTTAGTCCTTTTATGTAATTCTTGTTATTAATTTTTATTTGATTAAAAAAAATTTAATTGTTGTTTACATAAATAATTAAATTTTTATTTAAAATTTATATCTTAAAAATAAAAAAATTAAATTAGATTTATTAAAAATAAATGAGGAGTAGATTAGAGCATTTTGGGTTATACATTTGATTATTATGATCTTGTTTGTTGTGGTTGTATTTTCTTTATGTGCTGTAAAAAGAAATTTCTTCTCTTTATTTATAGTATTTGAAGTTTTGTTTTATGTTTAGTCGGAGCATTGCTATTGAAATGTGTCATCCAAGCAAATATGATTTCCAGGAACTGAGTCTGAGGCTCATAAACCAAGTATGAAGCAAAAGTAGAGGCTTAGTTAATATATATATATATATATATACACTCTAATTTCGATATATCATAAGCTCATAAATAGTGATTTTTTTTGTAGATTATATATATTTTTGGGAGTTTGAGCTTTAGATATCAAATTTATTTTGTTGAGGGATTAAATAATTCAGTTGTAATTCATGTTAAAAAAAAAAATAATTCAGTTGTAATTTATAAGTTAATGTATTGCATGTGTTCCTTGTTAATTTATAATCTTATCAAACATTGTTTTGAAACTCAACTCAAATCCGTCAGTTTAATTGATTGAATCAAATTTGATTTTAAAAACGGTGAAGTTATGGTATTAATTAGAAGTCAAACCCATTCAAATTTAGTCAAAATCTGCCCAAACGCAATCAAACATGCCTAAACCTAATTAAACTCAGTTGACTCAAATAGATTTAACCCCCTTTGTTTCTTACATTTTTATATTTTTTTCATTTTTCTTTAGTTTTTATATTTCTATTTATTTAATTAATATATAACATAATAATTAAATTGTAAAATCTATTTAAAATCAAATCACAATTAATAAATGAAAATTTTTAATTAATTTAAATGTAATTTGAAAATTAAATTAATATTTCAAATTAAATAGTGATTTTAATTTAGAATCAAATCAAGTTAATTGTGAAAATAAAATAAATAAATAATTTATACAATCAAATGAATGAAATCAATTTAAATTTAAAATTAAATGAAATCAATTTAAAATTAAAACTAATATGAAGTGATTTAGGAAATAAAATCAATTGCTATTTTAGATAATAAAATTAATGAAATCTTTTTAAAATTAAAATTAAATGAAATCAATTTAAAATTAAAACTAATATCAAGCAATTTTGGAATAAAATCAATGCAAAGAAAAAATAATTTTATAATTAATATGATATTAATGTTTTAGATGCCTACTAAAGAAAAATATATTATGTATTTTAATAAATTTAATTAATGAAATTAATTTTTAATTAATAAAGTTTGAAAATAAAATCTTAAAAATTAATAATTACTTTGATCATTAAATATAAAAATGATTTCAATTAATTTAATGATAAAATCAATTAAAGTAAAATTAATTTATAATTACGATTGGTATTAAAACATTGCTATTAAGATTAGTTTGTAAATTTGCATGTATTCACTATTTATTTATAATCTTATTAAGATCAGGACTTCAATATAGAATCGAATATATGATTAGGGAATGAATTTTTTTTTTTTTTTGATAAATGGAATATATTATTACTCAATAGTCGAAATGATTACATAAAGCTGTGGTAGAGAATCAACCCAAACCCCTTCCCAAGGTGGAGAAGGTGAGAAAAGATGTGCTAGTTTGTGAGCCAAAATGTTGCAGCTACTGCTAACATACTTGATACAAAGAGAATTGAATCCAGTTTTTTGAGCTCGAAGGTCTTCAACAATAGCACCGAAAGGAAGATAACAGCCATCAACAGAGTTTGCAATAGCTACTGCCTGCACATTATTGGATTCAATTTCTAGCTTTTTACATCCAAATTCCTTTCCCACCTATAGTGCAAAATTAATTGCCATCACATCTGCTTGAAGAACCAATACCTTAAAAGAGCAATGTGTAAGGCAGCCCCTAATACCTTACGATCACATTGCCGAAGGACTACTCCCATGCTAACTAAGTTCTTGGTGTTGTGGAATAGTAGCATTAGTATTAATTTTAACTATATCCCCCCCGATGGTGGCCAAACATTTGATGAGGCAGTTTCATTTGGTAACCTGATCTGGTCATCAACTGTAGTTGCTGTGGTGTATTCCTTTATGTATTTGGAGATTTAAGTGACAGTGAATCCGGTTTGTGAGCATTTATGCTGAAACAAACAACTGTTCCTATTGTTCCATATGCCCCAAAGTGCCAAAAAAGAATTCAAGAAATCATCCAAATAAGAGTCAGCTCTAATGTTATTGTTGTTGAAGAAAGGGCAAGAAGTTGTCCAAACCCGTGCACTCCAAGGACAGCTAAAAAATAAGTGGTGCATAGATTCCTTAGCGTATTCACAAATACAGGAAGAGCTCTCAACTTTCACACCATGGCCTTGCAAAGCCACTCAAGTTGGTAAGATTTCCCAAATGAATTTCCGAAGAAAATGCTTAATTTTTAGTAATGTGTCCATAAGCCACATAACTTTCCACACCAGCTTCATAAGATCATTAAAATCATTTACCTTCAACCCATAAACAGCACCCCATGCATATCTATATGCAGATTTCATTGTAAATCTACCATTTGTCGTATGTTGCCAAATTAAATGATCATGCCTACATTGTTTGCTCAATGGAATTTGTGTAATTTTCTCTATAGTGTCACTTGAAAACACCTGTTGGAGTTTCGTTAAATTCCATTAACAAACACACTGATCAATTAGTGAGCTTACTCTAGCACCCTCTAGAAGAAATCTATCCTCATGAAGATTGGAAAGCACCTCGGTATCGGGAAGTCACTAGTCCCGCCACATATGCACTAAAGCTCCATCTCCAATTCGCCAGAATGAACCCTTTTTTAAAATGATAAGGCCAGCCATGACTCCTCTCCACACCATAGATGGGTTTGTTCCTAATTCAACACCAAGCAGATCATCATTATTAAAATATTTGGCTTTGAGAACTTGATAACATA